TCTCTTATTTATTTCTGCTTTTCAAACAGTTTTTTTTTCTTTTTTATGATGGCATCTTTGTTTGAGACAAGTTTTGTAAAAGAAACAATGATCACCTGGGCCACTCGTTTCGTTTACGTTGCGTGAGACAATTGATAGATAGACACGAGTTGTTTCTTTTAAAATGGTCGTTCTTTATTGATGCGAATTGATGGTTCTAGTAAGCACTATCGAATGTTACATTCACTAACACAGTGGCGGCGGAGCCCTTAGGCTTGGGGAGGCTCAATCCTCCCTTAAAAACGAATTGGGGAGGCTTGGAGGGGATCAGATGTTTGAAAAATTTTTTACGGATCTCATTCTGGTTTTAGTTTTTGGAAGTGCTAACCATTTGAGTAAGTATTACTTGTTTTTTAGGAAAAGAATATATTCAGTCTGATGTCAGACGACAGACATTTGTAACTGTACTATTTTCGACACATCGTCACATATTACTATTAGCGACTTTTTGATGAAGAGGAATAGTCAACACATTGAACACATCGCTCGTACTCGACGTATTTTTATCTACTACTAAGACTTATCATCATCCTCACTTCATTGTTTTAAGATTTTGAACTAATAAACAATAATCTTTGCTTTGTGTTTTATGAGAAGGACATTGCACTAGTTCAGTTTTCTGTTGCTTTTCCACAATAATTTGAATATTCTGCTTCTTCTTCTTATTGTTACTATTAAACATAAATATATATTTAGAACAATTTCATTCACATACGCAGTGGCGTAGCCAGGATTCTTTTAGCATTGGGCCATTTCCCTGCGGAACCCTTTTGAGGGGTGGGCAGCCATGGACAATTCAAAGTTTCATTGTGCTATATTTTCTTTGCTGGTCCGTTATACTTTTTAGATGCAAGAGCATACCTGAACTCCAGACTCCGGTTGGGTAAAATTTTTTTCACTCACTGGTGTAAAAACCTCTAGTCTATTATTTATTTTCAAGCCACAGCGCAGCGAAATTTTCTTCTGTATTTGCAAAGATTCACACCTGCATAAAAAAGAGAATGTCCACATTATAATTCAACTTTTGTTACACATAGAAAAATGTACAGATAATGCTACTGAAGGCGACTAATTTTCGAAACAGTCGTAAAAAGGTTGAGTGATAAAATTTAGAATTCAGTATGAAAAATGAGAACAGATTGATTTTTGTAGCAGCTGAAAAAAGCCATTCTTCATTTTGTACTTCACTGCCGAAGGCGGCAAGTTTTTAGAAAATAATTGAAAATTCCAGGCTGAAACTTTGAGGGTGTGGATGTGGGTGTCTTTTCTGCTATCAATACCTACATCCACACACCCACACCCACACCCACACCCACTTTTGTCCTTGAAAAATTTTTTTGGATTCTGCAAAAAGCAAAATAAATACACAGAAATATTCAGAATTGCATGCTCTATCTTTCTAGCCGATTAAAAGTGAGGCA